TTTTCAAAGTGTTGATCGCATAATTGAAGATACTTTAAATAACTGCCAACATCCTTCATCTGTTTTTGCAATTTCTCTAACAATACTTGTGATGTTTTCCAACGATACTTGTGTTGAGTCCTTATTAAAATATTTTTTGATCAATTGTGAATACATACTTCTAATAACGAACTTGGCACCGATAAAGAATTCAAAAATTCAATCCACGTTTAAAATATTTTTTTAAAAATTTCTTTAAGAATGTTAGGAGTATCATTATGAATCATTATTGGTATTAGATCTCCAGATATTAGTATATTTTTTTATCTCGTTCTCTTAGTTTTTTAAAATAACATTCATTAGATTCAATATTAGTAATAAGCTTTTTAATTTATTTTATAATGATGTATCATGATATGACCTATATTTTATAATGTATACATCATATTTTTAATAAATTTTTAAAAAATTGTAAACAATTTAAGGAATAAGAAAGTTTAAATAAAAATATATTTTAAAAATAGTAATTAATACCGATTAACTAGATTGTAGTAGATAAGCAAATTCTCTAATATATTACTACTTGATAAATTAAATTTAAATAAGGATATTTGATTGGTAATATTGATATTGTTATTATATCTATAGTAAACTTGTGTTTTACCATATTTCTTTAGGATTTTAATTAATTTTGGTGTTAATTTTGAAAAAGTTGGTGATTTAATATTATCAAATTCTTTTTGAATATTTTTTGTATTAAGTGATGAATCATCATCTTTTTTTAAATCCATAATAACTTAAAAGTGAATTGGTGTTTTTTTCTTTCTGATGCTTAAAGTATAATTTAGATGCTCTAATTTCTTTGAATATGAATGAATATTTTTTTGACATTATTTGATATATTTCTCTGTAATATGATAAACTTCCCGATTTATATGTTCTATCACATTTGTCTATTTCACTATTATTATTAGAAACATTAGAAACAAGGTCATTATTTAAAACTGAATCAACTTTCTTAATGTCTTTGAGTAATGATGATATTTTGGTATTTAGATCTTCATTTAATTTGTGGGAGAATGGTTTCCTTATCAATATTCTCAGAACATTGATGAATTTTCTTTATCAATGAGTTTGTATTATTTAATTTGTTTATTATTTCGAATACTATTTTTTTACTATTAAAGATTTAAGTTCTGACTATTTATAATTTTTTGAACAAAGCAATTAATATTACTTGTTTACTAAGAACATCATTTAAAAGATAGCATATTAAGTATATTCAAGTTTAGTACATTTGTCACTTTTAACTAAAAGTTTTTTGAAATTGTTATTAGAAAAAAAATTAGAATACAATTAAAAAAGTAATTCATTAATTGAGTTGATTAACTACTTTAAAAAGTATTGTAAAATTTTATTCATTAAATTAATTAATTAAATAAATTTTTAAAAAACCAATAAAGTCTCATCAAGATCTCATGTAACTTTAAGTGAAACAGAAAAATCGCAAATAACTCAAAATTATACTATGATAACCATCTATGATAACCACAGTTTGACTGCTAAATAAAAGTTTTCAGCACGAAATTTTAGTTATATATGAACATTTTTAAATATCGAATATTAAGTAAATTAAAGCCTGCGCTAAATTCTGACCTTGTGCTTTTTGATTTGGTAATCGACATACCTGTCACAGATTCAGGCTAGATGTTTAGTCAAGATCTATAGGGAGTGATGCGAACCGAACATTAAACATCACTATTTAGGAATGAACATTAGAATTAAAATTCAAATGTCATATCTCGTAATTGAAAAAATATCATGAAAACTTCATAAATTATAAATGCGACAATTAAGCACCTATTTTTCGTATTGTTAGTCCATCTTAAATTTCTAAAAATTAATAAGCTGAATTGAATATAGTTCAATTGAAGATTTATATTATTGGCTATTGTAGGTATTGTGATAGATTAAATCAGTATTGAATATGTGCGTAATCTGCACAATACCAATATCTTTCATGACACCTTTATCAACATTAAAAAATCTTGGGTTCCGTTCATTCTATCAACAATCAGTTTACCGACAGTAATTTGACCGACAAAGTAATTCCGTTAGGGTCAGGTTAGAATTAAAGTTAAGGTTAGTGTAATTTATAAAAAAAAAATTTGTCATGAAACATATTGTCAATGAATCGTATTGTCGGCGGTGAACTGATTTTCGGTGAAATGAACCAGAACCAAAAATCTTGCAATTTAACGTGAATTATAAATTTGGGCTTTAATTTATATTCTAATTCATTCGTATAACTATACATCTTCAACTTATAAATTAGAGTTTGAAATAATATTAATTTCTTGTATGTACAAATACCATTATAAAATTATTTTTGAAATAATATTTAAATTGAATTTTTATATTTCAATATTTAATTGGGAAAATCAAATTGTGAATTAATTTATATTAAAATTACCAGAGCTAATTATGTCACCAAGAAACTAATTGAATTTCAATAACTGATTTTACTTTACTAAATTTTCGGTTAACATCACTTTTAGAACTCTTGTGAGGAGGGGGGGGATAAAATGAAACGAACATATAAATGAAAAAATATGAGTCAATTTGATTGGTCGATGTAAATCATGTGGTTGGTGAGAAGAATCAACTTTAACTCGTTCTTTACTTTTCATGTGACCAATTTCTGCGCTCACAATTTTAAATACTAATAGTATATTAAACTCATTATTATAAATGCTATAAAATGAAATTACTGTTATTGTGCTTTGCTCTTATTTTGTTTAACATTATTATATCTTGTTACCCGAAACTCGAAATATAAACAAAGAACTGAATGGAACGTTCGTGATGCAGAAGCCACTTTAATAATCCTCCCGTCTCCAGCTTTTGATCCAGAATTAGATGGAACTGCTTTTACTATTGAAATGGTAAAAAAATATGGAAAACTATGGAAACAAATTTTTCTTGACCAAAATTCCGTGAATAATATTGAACAAATACTTATTTGGATAAAAAATAATAATATTAAACATATAAATATTGGCGGCCCGCGAGAAAGTAATTCTCCAGGAATTCAAGAGTCAACTTACAAACTTATATATTCATTATTAAATAAAATGATAACTAAAGCCAAATTATAGCTCTATAGTATAATAGAGTTTCGATACCATATATTGATACAGCGTGAGCACTGTAACCTCAGAAACATGTGGAATACGGTAATCGATGTCGATCATCCCGATCAACTGCTTAAGTGGCATAAGTGGTGTCAGTAAGCCGTATCGAAAGGTTCAAGACAAGTAGAAAGAAGAATCATTACTGCAATTATTGCAGTCATCCCTTTTTCAGTGAGATAAAGATTAAAAAGATTAAGAAACATATTGGATCTTTCTTTAAAAAAATATTTTAGAAGATTATATAGTGCCTATATGTAATTATTGCTTAAATTTTAATTAAGATTTACTATATTATATGTCACATACTACATTACTGTACTCAAAAAAAAATAGGTAACTACGATTTTTAGAAAAGAAAAAATCATTTTAAGTAAGAACAACTTATAAAACTTTTTTATGAACCTGAAATATTTCATACTCCTCAGCTGAAAAATTTGATTTATTTTTAACATAAATCGATATACCTCTAAAGGTTTTTCGTATACAATAAATAAAGGATTATGCCAACAATTACATTTATTGTTTTGATCAAAAGTATCTTCCATAGCCAAACTACTATTAAAAAGACTGGACCCATTATAAATAGCAAGTGTTTTTTTAATTGGACAACTTATAATAGAACTTTGAATAGTTCCATTTTTCAATGAAAAAAAAATAAAGCTATCATTGCGAAGTCCTATGTTATGTTTCTTTATTTACTACGTATGATTATTTTTCTGTATTAATAACTAAATATGTTAATGAATAATGATGTGACCCGAAATCCATTGAATATCTATTTTCATATTACTAGCGCTAGATATTCACTGAATTTAAATCAAATACTGTATATCGATATGTTTCTGGTCACAAGACCAGTGAATCTCGTTATTAATTTCAAATTTTAAAAATTGTATGTGAACTACTTTCTTTTTTTTGAATAAACTTTTAGTTTGTAATTCATTTCTAGTTATATAGATAGAAAAAGATTTCAATGGTTAATGGTTAGAGTGTCGATTTAGGGATTTTTCATTGTTCAAACGATGAAAGATCCCGAAACTGTATAAGTGTCTAGACACTCTAGTTAATGGTATACAATTAATCTTTAATTAGTTCTCTTGGTAAATATTGATATGATGACAAATAAATATTTGTAAGATCGGCAAATTTTGTTTGTAAAGATTTGAGCCCTCAAAATATTGACCGATCAAATTTCAATTTAAGTCTAATCTTGAAATATTTATAGGTTCGCTCTTTGATTATTCAAAGGAATACGTTTATAATATAGTTACATTTCATTACCAAAATGTTCTCTGTTATATTTTACAGATTTTTCGCTTCTTTAGTATTAATTCTCAGATCATCTTTGCTCAATTTATTATTAATATTCATCCCATTAGGATTTTTGCTTATATTTTTAATTGGCCTTCAGGATGCATTTTTTTTTTCAATTGCTTAGCAATTATTCCTTTAGCGAATTTGTTAAGTTTTGTCACTGAGGATATTTCTTTAAAAGCTGGTCCAGCTATCACGGGGTTATTAAATGCTACTTTTGGCAATGCAACAGAATTAATTATTTCTGTTTTTGCTTTGCGTGCTGGAGAAATTAAAATAGTTCAGTCTTCGATGTTAGGATCGATTATTTCAAACATTTTATTAGTGTTAGGGACATGTTTTCTTACTGGAGGCATTAAGTATAAGACGCAAAAATTTAATCAAACTGCTGCTCAGACTAGTTCGAGCTTGATGACCTTGGCCTGTATAAGCTTAATAATTCCTGCTACATTTAACATTTCTTTAGGCAATGACAATAAAGAAACTTTGGTATTATCTCGTATAACTGCAATAATATTGTTATTAGTTTACATGTTTTATTTATTATTTCAATTAAATACTCATTCACACTTGTATGATGAGGAAAATTTTTTGATCCGAGATGGGGAACAAGCTAAAGAGCCACAATTACCTCTTATATCTTCTATAATTTTTTTAATCATTATAACTGGTCTTATTTCTTCTGAATTTTTAGTTAATTCATTTGAAGGAGTGGTAAAAACACTTGGTTTTACAGAAACTTTCATAATAGTTTTGCCAATCATTGGAAATGCTGCTGAGGTATTTATATTATTATGTTTTATTAAACCACGTTTATAATAGAAAATGTTTTGTAGCATGTCACCGCTGTTATTGAAGCAAGAAAAGATAAAATGAATATAGCAATTAGCATAGCCATTGGTTCTTCTAAGGTAAGTTAAGTTGATTAAACTTTGATTAAATTTTCTTTTTCAAAAATTATAATTCTTCATTTGCTAGCAAGTTTCATTATTAATCACTCCGATTTTGGTAATATTGGGCTGGATTATTAATCAACAAATGAGTTTGTTTTTTAATCCCTTTGAAACTATTATATTGTTTATTTCAGTTCTAATTACCAATTACATTATATTATTCAGGTAACTATTATTTTAAATTAGTTAATTTCTGTGTTTTTTGATAAATTGTTATTTCATTTATTTTAGGATGGAGAATCAAACTGGTTAGAGGGGTAATGTTGTTGGCAACTTATATAATAATTGGTTCAGCCTGTTATCTTTATGGTTATTAATTGTGGCTCTTACAAAATTAGTTTGCTTGCACCCAAATCCCAAACTCTGTCCAAATTAACATCTCAAAAATTTATTAATAATCTTTAAAAAAAATGTTCTTATAGTTACAATATATTTACAAAATTTTAAGATTATTTTCTTAATTATTTTCTGAGGTTTGGGTTTGCCAGCAAGTATAGATGTCAACTGAAAATTTGTATAAAGTAAAATAGACAAACCATCAAAAAATACAAAATTTGATACATTTTTTTTAGCTTTTTTACAATGCAATTGGGCTCATTTCTTTTTGTTGTTCTTGTTGACAAAGTATCCAAAATAAATTGCTTATATTCGCATATTTTCATTTTTAATTTCTCAAGAATACTATTATTGTCTTGCATTGATAAAGTGATAATGATTTCGTAATTTCAAGTGAATTAGCGAGTGTGCTTATATTGCATTGATGATTTGAAGAAATTTTTAAAAGGTATTCAATAAAACAGTGTTGACTCAAAGTTTGTTAGGAATAAAACTTGAGTTAAAGTATTGAGAATTAATCTTGCATCTGGATGACTGGCGGGAACGTTGTCCCAACATTTTTGTATGGTTTAATATATTAAAATGTTGTTCTCTTTTTGACAATTTTCAAAGTGTTGATCGCATAATTGAAGATACTTTAAATAACTGCCAACATCCTTCATCTGTTTTTGCAATTTCTCCAACAATACTTGTGATGTTTTTGTAATTTCTCCAATGATACTTGTGTTGAGTCCTCATTAAAATATTTTTCGATCGATTGTGAATACATTTTAACTAGATTATTTGTTTTTGATGATGCAAAATTGTCAGACATTCCTTTTATTTTTCTTAGTTTATTCAGTTTATCAGCATAATCTGATGGCGATTTAAGACGTTTTGCTATAGGTGTTCGATCCTACTTGTGGTTCTAAAAAAATTATAAATAATTAAATTTGTAGTTCTTAAAAGTAACTTCTGAAGTATTCAAATATAAATAAAATCTAAATTAAAACAAATACCATTAAATTTTGAAGTTGTAATATTCACAGAAGTTACAATTTTAGTTTTCCAAGTTTATTGTATGATAATCATGCAAATCTCCGCCGGAAACATATTTTATCACCATAAAATAATCTTGTAATTCATGCTTCTAAGATCTGGTTCTCTATTTCAAATACATCAGATTAGATTCTTTTCAATGCCCAGACGAAGTAAACGATATGCGAGTAATCATAGATAATATGAAAGGAATCGGGAAAGAATTCTCCAAAACCATTCTATACAAAGAAGTAGCATAAGAAGTACTGTAGAATAAAATATATTGAAAATCTTGCAATTCTGCCCCCCATACATGAAACTAAAGAAGTAACTAAAGTAGCAACTAAAAAAGTAATGAAGATTAGTAGATTTTGTAGCCCATATATCTCAAAAGCATGCTTTCCTTGTGCACAAGCTAAGGTAAAATGTTCAGGAGGTATACCATGTGATAGATGTGCTTCTAAAAATATGTGTGTACGAGTAACCCTGATATCGCCACCAATAAAAGATCGGATTTTAGTATTATAACCAAAAGGATGATGAATTTAACACTGATATTGAATCTCCTCCAATATGTTCGTTATGTGGTAAATTGGAAAATTTTTAAAACAACTATTATCAATGCGAAATATATCAATGAGTTTGGTTTAGCTGTTAGCCTATATTATACGTAACGTACCATGATTAGAGGTTGGAACCGGTTTTAATAATTCAGTGCTATCACGTGAATTTTGTGATATTTTAAAATATCACAAAATTCATGTGATAAACCCGAATTATTAAACCTCTATTTCGGGTCCCGTCATGATCAACAGCAGTTAAATCACCACCCTAATTAATTTCGTTGGCCAATCAGATTTCAAAAAAATGCTCGTAACTCAAAATTTTGCCTAGGAAAGTGCCTTTTGCGTACTAAAAAAAAAAATTCCTCGTGAAATTTTACTATAACTATAGCCCTCTAAACCAAACATTAACCTACTGGTGGGACCCTAAACTAATCGCGAAACAGTTTTTTTTAATAAGATCACATAGTCAGCGAAATTTTTTAGGGTGGTGATGCTAGACTTATAGTCATGATCGATGATCTTCACATGACCAAATCATCAAAATTACAGAATTATTGCCCGAAAATCAAAACAAATCACTTTTAACACTTCTCATTCATAACGACACAATGACAAATCGAAAATGGAATGAGTATTTTGACAATAATGAGGCTGATACTTGGAGTATCTTAAGTTTTCATAAAGCTTGAATAGAAAAACACAAAAATGATCCAGGAAAACTTCAATATCAAAAAGCAAATGACGCACTTTTGAGAAGTCTGCGTTCAATCACTCAAAATTGTAAAGATAATAAGAAAGTTCAGAAAGCAAAAATGATTCTGAATATAAAAGTGAGTACAGTTTTATGGGTATATTATCATGTCAACAGGTACTACACGCTGTTTTATTTCTCGCGATATCACTGAGACATATTGTCGACGGGTACTACCTGTATCTCTAAGCCACATTAACTATCCCTTTGAATTATCTCAGTATAGTCATAATTGCTACACTCAGTATATATCAATAGGTGCTGTATCTATATATGGTGACGGGTACTGCTTTTATCACTGAGATATATATGTCAACGGATATTGCTTATGATTGTCATATAAATAGATGTTGTATCTCTGAGGCATATAATATGTAACTTTTATGTGCTTGCTAGGAATTTGGACTATGTATTTCTTATATATTTTATTATTAATAAAAGGTTAAACGCGGCGTTGACGTAAATAATTTGTGGATTAACCTTATAAACAAAGAAGGTATCGTTCTTGTTAATTCTAATTCAGCAGCACATACTATAGTAATAATAATAAATTATATATATTTGAAACTAGAATCATCAGTTAATAGTGAATTTCCAGAAGACTATAATTCCCTTTTTGATGATGGTAATGAAGAGAAACTCGGTGAATTAATAGATGATAATAGCTTAATTGAAGAAACGAATCTCCCAGATTTTACACCTAAAGTAATAAATTTTGAGGTAATAATAAATATTAAATTTATTAAATAGATAAATTTTAATTTATTCAAATTAATATTATTATTATATTAACAAATTATTTAGTTGAGCTCATTTAATCAAAATTTAAAAAATTCTTTTATAAAATACCAAAATTCTATATCTATGTCAAAAAAAATAGTAACGTAAGTTTTGTATAATTTTAATTCATATAATAATTTGATTAATATCTTTATTCTTCAAATATTCAATAGACCAGCATATTGGGGGATATTAGACCTTACTAGAGAAAGCTTGTTCGATTGGAAAGAAATTGATAATGAATTGTTGAATGAAGTAGCGCAGCTTTTTACAAATACGATTGCATGGTCGCCAAAATCAGCCCCTGAAAAATTGCAAGAGTACTTTAATAATAAATGTGAAGATGTAGTTCATGGATTTGAAAACCTACATATTTATATTCAATTTATGTAAGTATAATTAGTTTATTTTCTTTTTAAATTTTTACTAAAATATACTTTTAATAATTACATAGCAAATTAAACATGAATCGATTAAAACGATTTATTAGCGAGCAAGAACTAAAAATGACCACAGTATTTCCACTAATTCGTGGAATATTTTCGCAAAATGTAATAGATGATAAATGGTACGAGTATTGTGTTAAAAGCAACAAAGTGATCAAGCACATTTTTGAGAAACTTTAGTTTTAGGGGAGAAGTTCAATCTTTAGCAACAAATGAAGCTCGTAATGAATCAAATAATCCTTTTCAACGAGCTAAAGTTGGTCACAAAGTAGACATGAAAGGAATATTAATGAATACTTCATGTAAATTAGAGGCCTTATATGGAGAAGTATCTGGAGGTTTAGGACCTTTTGGTCTATCAATAGCAAGTAGAAAGAAAAAGTATCTTGATAAAGTCAAATTATCCGGCATGATGCGAGATTCTATTAATAAGGCTTTAAAGCAATGGAAGCATATTAGTGATGAAGACAGAAAATCTTTGGTTGTATACGGATTTACACAAGATGGTTTGTCAATCTTACTAGATCTGCGATAGTTTATAAGAGTCTCTACTAAAGCAAATTTTTTAGGACTTGAAATAAATTTTTATGCAATGTCTTGGTTTGAAGGAATCTATCTTTTTGGAAGAATTGACTCTTGCACAGCTCCATCAGAGGAGGATAATAGTTATTTATTTGAAGATATTTACTGTGTTCTTAAAGAACTTGAAGTACGTATTATTAACTTAAATACGATTTATAAATGTTGATTAATATTAACTTTAAAATTACAGTTAAAATTAAAGAAAACTGAAGAAGCCGTAAGATATCTTCATAGTGAAAATATAAGAAACAAAAGAAGATTGATGTCTAAAGAAAATATTCCTATTTTAAATAGGAACAGAACGCCAAAATAATTTGATATTTTGTGTCTTTAGAATATATATTTATTTATCAACATAGTAATTTTGGTGTTTTAAGCCTAGAAAATAATTAAATTAAATAAAGAACTTAGTTCAATCGATTTTCTGGCTTTTAAACCATGATCTCGTTACGTATCTACCTTTACTTTTGTCCAATGCGACTTTGTGAATAAAATAATTTATCAGATCTATTATTCTTGTCGAAATTGTAAAACAGTTTACCGCTGCATTACTTGGGTTGATTTTGTCTTGCACGAAGAACAAGTGCCAAATAGTAGAAATTATTAACAAGAAATAGATGCTTAATTTACTCTTTCGATTTATTCCAAGTTAAGTGTTAATGTGCCATACTGATTCAATTTAAAATTCAACATAGCACAAATCTTTTATAATTAAATTTATCAAAGTACTTGACAATTCAAGTTTTTTACACTCACCGAAATTAGAACTTAAATAAAATATTACGCGAAATAAGCAGTATGAAGTGCTTTATGCGTTACTATACTATTACGGGTAGCTCCATTTCTTTATTTAATATCATTACTTAATTTAAAAGTGGCATAGTATTTAAATAATTCTAGGAACATATATGGCTTTTTGTCCGATCGGTTATTTTATTTTGTAGAAAATAATATCGTATACATCTATTTCAGAGAACGCCGGAAGATTGTGAAAACATGGTCTCAAAATAAGTTTTGATTGGATAATTAACATGTAAAAACTCCAACAGTGTTTCAGAATCTTAATCCGAGTTCTCTTTTTAGAGTTCTTTGGTGACTTTTTTAGAGTTCTTTTGCGACTTTCTTCTGTAATTTTTCCGGAGTTCTTTTATAGATGATTTGATCATCATCGAACATGTAAAAAGTAGCAATATCTCAACGACCACCAAAGCAAATTCATTATTAAACTTTGATCATAGATATCTTGGTATCCACTCAATCACACAACAAATTTTATATACGAACTAGTGTAGTAGGTAGAGATGTGCCCCGTACAGTACGCAAAAAAATTTTTAGAATATTCTAGAACAAATCATGAAAGTATCCCTATCTCAAAATTTTGACTATAAACTGTCTTTCGCACTCTAACAAGAATTGTTCCTTGCA